GAGGGCATCTGTGCCGGCCCAAACTCCATACCTGCTTGCACAATTTTTTTCTCAACATCGAAGACAGGCTGTGTTGTTCCGGTGGTCCATTATCCTAGTTAGCAATTATGGTCGGCTAAAACAAGGGCTTGCCATAGTTGCTCGTATGGACGCTGTCGATGGTCGCCGCACGAGGGCTCGGGCTCCATTCAACGAAGTGTGTTGGGCGGTGTTCACGAACAATAGGGGCAACATTTCATGATTTCGGTGAGAGCAGCTACATGGCTTATCAGGTCTCTCTCCACCAATGCTGTGTATTTCGTGAGTGAAAGATTCCTGTGAAGGATATGTGTGATGCTGACCGGGTTAGAAGCCGACCAACGAGATATCAATCACATACCAGTGCGGCTGCAAGGTTCGACTTCGAGGGAAAGTATCTGTAGGGGTCCCGACGTCCTGTGGTGCCGCCGTTGGGAAAGCGTGGCTGCTCAATCAGGACTTGTGGAGTACTGTAGTAACGGCTGCTGACACGTAGCATGAGACCTGAGAGCATAAAAGGCTCAATCATGATCTGTCCCGAAAAAGAGCGTGTCGATGATGATTCACTCGCCGGAGTGCGTAAGCCGTTTTGAGAGCTGTAAGCTGGGGTTCAATGACCACAATTTTTATTCGTACCTGTTTCTCTCGGGCGTATGGACTCTAGCAGAGCAGATAATTTTAGTACGACAGCCACGATGGGAATGTTGACGCTTTCAGATTGCAGAGTACGCATCATGATGCATCCGTCGTCTCTTGGAGCTTCAAGCTCTGCAAGTCTCTTCTTTTCTGTGGCATCATGCAAGTTGAGGAGAAGAGACGGGCACCGGGTTCGTATCCTTCTATGCAAACTCTATCTGGGCCGCTTAAACATCAACGTGCGTTGTTGCATGCAGCGAAGGAACGATTTGGTCTAACCACCTCCTGGATCACACGACGTAGGCGGAACATTAAGCTGGCATTTTCAAAGTACGCCGGACAATGTGCTCTAGCTTATCTGTTGGAGTCTAGCATAACTGTGATAACGGTGTTGATGGTCACACGTGCCGCAGGCGAAGCTCAAGAGCTCGACAAATTCTTAAAGTGCCATACAGGGCACGCCACATGTATTCGAGCTCGCTCCGCGTATGGTACTCGGCAGGTTGCATCCGCCTAAGCTGTTCAGTCTCGGCCTTACGTTCATAAATGCGCGTCCCGCTACTACGGTTTCTGTGCAGGAAGCGAGTGTACCTCGGTCCTCGTGCAGACCGCGCGTCGAGGAAGCCGCATCCCCACTTCATCTCCGGGCTCGAGTTGCAGCATATTGACCGGGAACACATGCGAGATCGAATTTCGGAACGTTAAGGACAGGTGCCACGACGGTCAGGACGAACAAACGGGCGCTTCAACAGCAGCTAGCGCTCGCCAGTGGTGCGCGAGCAGCGCAATATGGCGAGATCGGGCCAAGACATGTACATTGAACTGCGTAACTAGCGTTGAAAGCAGCAAGAAAACCACAAGTACAAATGAGGCTCGCGATATAACGTCTCTCATCCATTATACTCTACATTTCTTCCTTTCTCATATCGTGACCGTTTACACTCCGACGAGGTCCTGGAATTCCTGGCCTAACTCGCTGCTCTTCCTCGTGTTCTCGACGAGTGTATCGAATCGTGGCGACGCCCCAGGTTGAGCAACTTTGCTAAGTGCGACGACTGCGCGGAGTGTGCTGCGCTGGAGCTCACCCGCACGTTCGAGGTCTTGCTTAACGGTGTCCTTCGTGACCGTCGCACCCTTCATGCTCTTCTCGAGCGCAGGTGTGATGTCGTCCAGCCGTTGCGAGATCGCCGTCGGCGCGACCTGGGACAGACGGAAGAGCATCATGTGGCAGATGACCTTGACCTCGTCCGAATCGTCCGAGAGGCCGACCAACATGTGGCTGATGAACTCGTGCGGATCCAGCTTCGAGAGGCAGGTGTCTAGCAGCGTGTAGAGGGTCTCGTACGCGGTCTTGCGGGCCTCTAGACCGTCGTCGACCTTGTGTGTCCAGGGACCCATCTGGACGGTGCGGATGAGCTCGGGTTTGACAACTGTCTCCTGATATAGGATCGGGAGGATTGCCGGGAGATGTTCTCTGATGAGATGTGGCTTCGTCCTTGAGGCAGAATTGAGAGCAGATAAGGCAAGACGGCGAACGGTCTACAGGACGAAAAGTTAAGTCCGTCGCAGGATGGCCGAGAGCAAAGAGCACTCACAAGATCCTGGTCGCCGACTAACGAGAGGAAGTCCATGATAGTGGCGCTGAGCAGTTCATCATACGTCGCGGATGGCTCGGCGAAAGTGTAGCGAATGGCAGAGATGACAGTGGCCCTCGCGGCGGGATTTTCGTCGCGAATGCGTTCCTAAGGGCCCGTCAGTCATATTTATACCGCAGTGACCCCGGGGACGTACATGAAGCTGAGGAAGGTATCTTGACGGTGCGGTAATAGCAAGCTTGCCCAGACATGCCGCAGCAACGTTGCGCGTGATCTCCTCCGACTCTTCAGAGTTCTGGAACAGAGGCACCCAGAGCATGTCCGCCACATTCTCTAACTGTCCATGCGAGCAGTGAGTGACGACCTCCTTCAGAGCATGTAGAGACAGAAGGCGCTTGGCAGGGTCTCTCTCAACCATCTTGACGATAAAGGGTAGGAAGTGATGCAGATTTCCGACCGCGATGTTACCTGGAGTGACATGAGCATGACTCAAAACGTCAGGAACCAAAGTGAGCACTCACCCGCAGCGAAGGCCGCCGCGGTACGGATCTCTTCGACCTCAGAACCGAAGCGTTCGATAGCTGCGTTGAAGATGTCCGTCTGAGGCGACATATCGCTAGGCATGCAAGCGTCAGACCAAGACGATCACCTCAATTGCCGGACTCACATAAAGCGGCCAACTTCTCCCATGACCAACAAGCTGAGCACGACCTTCTCAGGCTTAGCAGGCGACTTCGCCTACCAAATTGTAAGAATATCGTTCACAGCCATGTGACGATGAGCGTACCCGTACCTTCAACTGCTTGGCGAACTCCACGATGGTACCGGCAGCAACCGTCTGTTGGCACTTGACGACCTGTCCGATGCAGCGCGCCACGTTCGCCTGTGACGCCTCCGACTTGGGCGCCCTGTCGATAGAGATAACGAGGTTCGGCACGACGTGTGTCGCGATCTGCATATCTGCCCGTACGAGCGCAGCGAAAAAGTTAAGGACCGAGTCGAACGGCGCGCCCGATACCAATGACGAATGTGCGACAGCATAGATATCCTGGAGGAGATCACTCTCAACCTCGGGGAACGTAGACGTCGGCGCGACTTCGAGGAGGAGCGCAACTATGTTGAGTGCAGCGGCGAGGAGAGAGATGTCCGCGGTCGAAACATAAGATTTGAGCTGGCCAACCAAGGTAGGAGGCAAGTCGGCGGGAACCGTGCTGTACCTACATTGAAATAAGGTCAGATAGTGATCGCTGTCGCTGTGCCGGGTATGATCCTACCTTCTGAGAAGCGCATCCAAGCAAGTAAAGACATCACTCTTGCCGGATCGTCCACTCTTCTTCAGCAGGCCGAGCACCCATTCGACACACCCGTTGACCCACTGGTCGCTCACCTCCGCCTTGAGCGCCACACGCGTGACGACATCGACGGCGCCCTCCGTGCGTGCGTTGGCGCGGCAGATCGCTTCCCACTCCTTGCCACCCTTGTCCTTGACGACATCTGTGGCGCAGATCCAGAGATCCGCGATGACTCGCTCGGCGCATAGACGGACCTCAGCATCTGTGTCATGGTTGCTCAGGCGTGAGACAGCCTCAGTATATACGCGGTCGACCCAGGCGGCTCCTTGCACAGGGTTGAGCGCATTTAGCAGGCTGGAAAAGGTACGGAAGCCTTCGGAGGCAATCTTGGGGTGCCTCTCGGAGATGGATTTCAGAAGGGCGGCGATGATGGAGTCCAAGGAATTTGAGTAAGCGGTGGCTGGGTGGGTGGAGAAGAACAGACCGAGGAAAGAGAGACATGATACTTGAAGGTTGGCTGAGGATCCGGTTGTAGACTGAGAGAGGACAACCTTGGCGTTGGCAACTACTTGTGCTGACTGCGCTGTCAAGCACCCGGGAAGGACTGTCAGGAGGGCGTGCAGCAGAGAGAAGCCTCCCTGCAGGGTAGTGACTGGTGTCTTCGTAGACTTCAACTGTTGCAACAAAGCCTTTGCAAGCGGTGGTACTTGCCCACGAAGGAGAGTGATCGGATTCTCTTCGACCTCCATGCTACCTTCTTCCCGTTTCCTTTTGCGCGCGCTGAACTGGGCGTCCTTTGCTTGGGGGGTTGAACCATAGAGGTTCGTTTGATTGAGCAAGATACCGTATGTAGACCAGATCTCCAGACGGACAGTCTCTTCACGATCGCCGAAGCGTGAAATGAGCACCGGCGAAACATCCTTATACAGTGCAATAAGTAGTTCAGGGCGTGTGCCGATAACAGCGGCGAGTAATTTTGTGGCGGAGCGACGGATTTTGTACGATGTGTCTTCGTCGTCAGAGTAACTGAATGATGTAAGCCATTGTTTAACCAACAAGCGATGTATACACTTACTCGTCAAGTTCGGCTTCGTCGTCATCATCTTCGTCAACCATCTCTTCGTCCTCGTCTACCTCGTCGTCCCCAGCGTAATTCTGTACAGCGCGTTACTTAATATAAATGCTGTTGATAGCGGCAATTTTACTCACGGGGTCGTATTTGATATATTGAGTACCAGACTGAATAATGCTGCTCAGGTAAGGCGTGACTTCTGCAGGACATTTGAGCACAAGAGCCTCGAGCGCTTGCAGACCACTCTCTCTGAGCTCCTCGTCGTCCTTTGCAATCGCTTTGATGATGCCTGGTACGAGGTCGTTCAGTACAGTGGCAACTTGATGTGGAGAATGGCGCGCGACGGCGGCGACAAGCTGCACAGTCGTACGTTGCTTCTCTACGCTGGCAGAAGGAGCGAGGTTCGGTAGAATAATCACCGTCAGCAGCTCGCTGAAATGCTGTGGCTGCGAAAGTGGCAGATATTGTGCGAGCGTGGCAATAGCCCGCTTGCGCACCGCGGAACGTGGGTGCTGGAGCAGTGGTGTGAGGACAGCTAATGGCTGTGGTTGCAGGTTAGGGTCGGCGAGATATGGACGGAAGCGTGCAATGAGGATCGAAAGGATCGAAAGTGTTTCAATGAGTGTCTCTGGCGGAATGCTCGACTACATGAAGCGCCATAAGCGAGACAGCAGCGTATGACGCGACATGCTGTACTTACGTTCCGTAGTTGATCGAGAAGTTTGGGAGTCAGCTTCTCGCAGGCTTTCGCAGCAATCTTTCCCTCTTGTGGCAACTCAGAAGTTATAGTCTTGAGGGCTGTATGCAACGAAAGTAGTGAGAGTGCATCCGTGCTGAGCATCTCGCAGAGCGTACCAAGGCCTGAGATATCCCGCAGCTCTTCATCTTGTGATGAGGAAAACTCAATAAGCTTGTCCACCACCATGACCATCTGAGTTTCACGGATGATCTTGATGAGCTGACCGAGACTGTAGAGAACATCTTAGGATCGCGACCATCCTGGCGTCCTGACGGGTAATATCTCACCATTTGACAGCTTGATTCTTGACTTCTGAGATCTTGTCCTCAACGAGAGCAAGGACCTGTTTGAGAACCTTACTCTCCATGTTCTCGTCCCCAAGGAAGTTGCCCGGATCCTGCTTGATCTCGAGCAGGAGATCATTCAGACCCATGTACCTGCACACCGCTTGTGGGTACACACGCCGCGCATCGCGCATCGCGAATACTCACCGGAAGTCCTGGTCGGGTGATTGCATCTACATAGCGTAGCCGGTGTGAGCACTAGCCACTAGCACCTGACATACATTACGCACCTTCTCAATCAGCCCAGTCATCACATACGTCTTCGTCATGTTGGGCCTTGATATCGTTGTTCAGACAGTTAGAAATATGTGGGTAATATTGGGCACAAAAATGTAGAGAAGCCGCGGAGGGCAGGTCGCCCGTCGAAGTCGAGAGGCAAAGGACGGCGCGTGCGCGTGCAGACCCATCCTATGTCGCGGATCTCAGATCTCGCGTCTCCTGGCACAGGCGCCTGCTGTCCGGGCACGCCGCCATCGCCCTGGCCCTCAGGAAATCGCAACGGAAAATATTGTTAAATGGGTATGATACTAATGAAGACTGTGTAATAGTATTTTTACAATGCATGCGACATGGAATAGAAAAACACGGAATTAGTAATACATAACTCGATGATCCCCTCTTTTTGCCTCTAGCAATTATGATAAAATAAATACGCGGTCTGGCGACAGGCTCTATTCACGGGCTGAACGCTCTTTCGAGATGGCGCTGGGGGGCCCGCCTAATGCTGCTGAGAGCGCAACCATCTCTCGACATCCTTGGCCTCAGCCGGTTTCATGGCACCTCGGAGTGGATCGGCGGTCGTCCGCAGCCTCGCGGAGGTTTGCAGGCTACGGAATCCCACCACGTAAAGAGGACATATTCGATTTGCCTGCCAAGAATAATAAGTCCCTACAATAAGAATGGAGAGTCATGTTATGTATATACCTTGGATGAAGAATTTCTGATGATCTGTTCAACCATTCCGATATACCAAGATCCTTTCACTTTGACCCACACCGGCTGGTTCAGCTGCGGAGCCGGCATGAGTGATTTTATACGACCGCATAAGTACCATTGACAACCTACCGAGTAGCTTGCCGAAGATGGCGGCTCAGGCGCGCGCGTTCGCGCAGAAGCCCGCCGCTCCTCCGCACGTGCTGCGCCGTCGTCGCCGTACTCGGAATCGATGTACTCGGAGCCGTCATCTGCGTCAGAGAGCTCCGACGGCGTCTGGGCACCGCCGAAGTCGGTGTCTCTGTCTGTCTCGTCGCTGGCATCAGGCGTCCACTGCACGCGGCGCCACAGCTGGGGCTTTGCATCGTACGGCATCTTTCGGACTGATCGGAGGCGGGGTAAGTCAGATGGGAGGAAACTGATGTTGAATCTTGATTGAAGCGACAAGTGAGACACTGAAAGGTGGGAAGGGAAGAATGGGTGTGGCAATGGACGACAGGTAGGCGGACCTGGGGTCAGAGGGGGACGGGTGCCTTTTATCTCGCGGCCGGGATGGGATCGTTCCAAAAGTGGCCCTAGTTTAGACGCCAGAAAGCCTGTAGTGTGCCTGTTGTATCTGAGCCTCTGCTGGGCCTAACGGTACTCCCTGTCGCCGGACTTGGCCCTTTTGTTGTCCAGGGAATAGGATGGGAGTCCTGAAAGGGTGACTGGAGGTTGAGAATGGTGTAAAAGAAGGACAAGGGACAATTGCGCCGGATCGGGTATGTCTGGTGTTTTGACCGGCGCCCGAGGCGTCTTGCCGGATCCTTCGAAGGCTTGAGTCTGCGTATGTGTAGTGAGTCAACGTGGTCGCTAGAAAGCCTGCAAGCTTATACGCAGCGGAGGAGCAGTGCCACTGCCACTGTCGTGGTGATCTAGTCATTCATCGCCACGAAGCATCAGACAGCTCGAGTGTCCCACGCGCCAGGAAATCAGGTTTCCAGCCCGGCACCTGCGGGTGATTGAGTTTCATCAACGCCTGACAAACACTATACGACTGCTTGTCATGTAAGAGGCTGACATTAATGAGAAAGTTCGCTGGCGTGGCAAGGGCCTGCGCAAACTGGCAGCGCGCCGGACGCCGTAGTGGAGACGCGAAATCAACTCAGCTCATACCTACAGACGTATGTAACTTTGACTGGCAAACGCGAGTCGCATGGGGTCATCGCAGTCAGGGCAACGGCAAGGTTGGAGCCAGACATTTCTCACTCGTGTCCGCGCTGCAGATATCGCGATGCCACACGAGCGCTGTCAGTTTGTAAGATCTGTAATGCACATGTTCAGTCATGACAGACAAAATAAAAATAGATGGCGCACAATGTTCGAACGAGAGTCCATAAGCCTTATATCATAAAACAACAGTCCGTAATATACACTCGTAGCACCTGACAACTTATACACCTTCATTGCCTGTACAACTTATGAGATTGACACGCATCAATGATGTAAAGAAGACGCGTACCAGACTCAAGAGTCCATGCATCATGCTTCCTTATGTCTTCGGCAGTGACCGTCGGTCGTACGCTCTCAAGTGATTTCAGGAAATCGGCCAGCCTGAGTGGTGGCTCTTTGAGCTCGTCGCTTTCGATATCCGTCCAAGACGTCTCCTTTGCTGCAGGGTCCCCTGGAGAGCACGGCGTGTACTTCTTCTTGCCGTCGTCGTCCATAGGTTTGAAATGTGTCGCGGACATGACCTTGCGGATAGGTTGCATAAGGGCATCGCGAACAACGACGGCGATATCCGATCCAGAATAGCTAATCACGCACAAATGAATTCAGGGTCATGCTATAGCTGAATTACGTACCCGTCAGTCTTCTCGGCAAGCAGTTTCAGATCTTTTTGGGTCAGCTCGTTTGGTGTGTCGCCTATGTGCAAAATGAACATTTGTTTCCTGGCTTCAAGACCAGGTAATGGGATGTGAATCCGCTTCTCGAAACTGCAGAGGTGTCAATTTCGGAGTAAATGGCCGAGTAGAGGTGCATACCGCCGCTTGATAGCATTATCGAGCTGCCATGGGATATTTGTAGCGCCAAGGACCAGTACACCCGTGTCATCATGTCCGACACCATTCATTTGCACCAGGAATTCCGTCTTGATGCGTCTTGAGCCTTCAGACTCCGCGTCGCTTCGCGAGCTGGCTAATGAATCTATCTCGTCGATGAAGATAATCGCTGGCTTGTTCTCGCGTGCCATTTCGAACAGCTGTCGCACAAGCCTGAGTCAAAGCAGGTGAGAGTTGAATTAAGGGCATGTTATTCACGAGCCTGACCTTTCCGAGTCTCCCTGCCACTTGCTAACCAAGTCGGACGAGCTGACACTGAAGAAAGTGCCCTTTGCCTCGGTTGCCACTGCTTTCGCGAGGTACGACTTCCCAGTACCGGGAGGACCATACAAGAGGATACCGCGCCACGGCGTTCGCTTGCCAGTGAAGAGATGCGGGAACTTGATGGGCAGGATCACAGCCTCCTTCAATGACTCCTTCGCAGCTTCGAGCCCGGCAACATCATCCCACTTCACGTTGGGCTTGTCTGCAACGATGGCGCTCGTAAGCCCAGCTCGCAGTTTCTTGACCTCTGGGTCCGTGTCGTCGTCGTCACCCTTTCTGTTTCAAGCGAGCATAAGCACATAAACGTTTAGACACAGATGGTGTAACGCACTTCATGCCCTTGCCCCCGCTTCCCCCGTTCGCCATACCATCCGCCCCAACCGCCTTCTTTGCACGCTTGTCTTCTGCCTGCTGCATGTGCTCTTTTAACGATTCTGCGCGGCTGATGTACTCCTCAATCTTCCCCCGAATCAGCTGTTTCAGCTTATCGTTCTTCTCCCCTAAAGCTTCTCAGTCGCAAAGCCCAGCATGCACAGCGTGACCACATACATTTCAGCGCGAGCATGAAATAGTCGAGCGCATTCGAGTACTGCTTATATGCTTCCGCATAGTTCTGCTTGTTGTCCTCCTCGATAGCGGCGCTGACGATTTGGATGGCGCGCTGAATGAGCTATGAGCAACATCCGCATGCTCAAGGGTACGCCACTTACGTCGAGATTTGAAGTCATAGTGAAGGGGAGGATGCCCTGGAGGAGTGAGTGCCTGTACCGCGGTCTCAAGCCTCAGGCCTTAGGCTTAGTCCCGCAGCTACGCGCCGGTAGAATGTTTGTCCTTGTTAGAATCGGAAGGTCCTGCATAACACAGGCAAATAATAGATAAAAGGCATAGAAAGCTCAGAGGGCCGTTTCGTATGCATTAATGGGGTAGTGGTAACCTGGGTCGTTGCCATCGACCCGCCGGGGGTTCGATTCCCCCTTAATGCATCAGCCTACGTCGCCGATTTTTCACTGCATTACCAGTTCTAGTTATCTTTATGCAAGCTGCTAGGACTAAGGCTCCAACCGTTTAGTTTACGTGTAAACTTTTTTTGTAAACACACAGCAAACGGTTGTAAACGTTTATAAACAGTTTATAAACAGTAAACAAACAGTTATTACAGGGATCTAACTCACTCTAGTGGATTGCGCCAGATTAGCCTCTGAGAAACCTGTGTGAGCCTACTGCTCTACTTGAGCCTGAAAAGAGAGGTACAGTGCTTGAGCAACGCAAGGCGCTTGTTTGATGCGCGAGAGAAAAGCGAGGCCGCAGCTTCCTACTTACAATATTGATGTCCTGGCAAACACTAGGCCCGACTCGGACGTGTATAGATAGTGCACCTACTCATGCGTACAGGGAAGGGGCAATGCGTGCATCACATCCCGAGCACGGACCGGCCATCAGGCAGCATCTGAACACTCCGTACCTCAAGCATCGTGCTATGGTCATCCCTATGGCCCGCTGGTGTCCCCTACGCATAGTACGCAGATTGCGGGCACACGAATAGTCTCGATCGGCCAGTGGAGGTTGCGGGAGGACAAACACTGGCAATCACAAGCTGCGAGAGCGGTATTGCCAGGCAGCACTGTACTCATAAGTATTGCCCATTGTCAAATCGAAGCTGCGGCCCCAGCCATGCGCCGTACAGCAAGCCAGTGTAGCGCACTCGTCATATCCAATGCGCGTACGTCACCGGAGCCCGGAGGTAGCATGAATATCATACGTGCTGAAACTTCTGTGACCGATGAGGTTGATTGCTCGCGAATTGAAATTGAGGTCCCCCATCGTTCGGATGTTACTCTGTGGAAGCACTACCCATACTGTAGGGACCAGGTATTTATCGCCACTCAGAGAGCTATGTCGATGAAATCTCAAGGAAATGCGTTTCCCGACCAACGCCCATTGTGCGTATCGCGTAATGTTCACGCCTAGCTGGCGTAAGTCATCTACTGCGCACCGGCCCATCTACAGTGTATAGCTGTATAAAGCTGCACACAGCATCTGTATTCGACGCTATAATTATGGCTTTATCAATTTCAATACTCTGAAGCTTCGAGCCTGTCCTGCGCGCGGTACGTGACGTAGGCCTCTCATCGTGAGATACTGTAGATCACCTAGATTCGGTTGTGATTGGACTCGAGAGTTGGCAGGCCATGCTTCTTACAACACGGGTTTGCTTGCGCGTCGTGAACTTCGATCTCTTCGTGGAGAACCCTGCCAGTGTTCTTCCTTGAGAAAGAAAGACGAATCGTGATGCGCAGTCTACCTGTCGTATACCGGAGTCCCGCGTTCATCGATCGTTCATCGTTCATGACAGAATCGCATGATATTCCAGAGCGTATAGAGCAAGCCAAAACGTGCCACCCTACAAACTAGGCGAAGTAGTACATCTACATTGACGTGAGTGCGAACGTAAAACGAGAAACAGCGATGAGAGATGAGAGATAATAAAAAGCAGCGGATGTGAAAGTAAAGACGACACAGTTAATTGAGTATGAGCTAATAGGAGCGAAGAAACAGCCGTCGCCAAGAGGTATTACAACAATATAGAGCTCCAACGATGCGCGTGCATATGAGCGGGACGCCAGAGAGTCTGAGCCGGGTCCGAAGTGAACACCTGCCACATAGGCTATGACCCAACGATATGCACATGCGACTCGGCCATTGACTGCGCGTAAACATGCTTGTGCGACGGCTTCTCGCAGAGGTAGCAAACCTCGATGCTCTGCACCCACTGATGATTGATCGCGTCATCGATGCTACACCGGAGCTTAGGGTTCGGCTCGAGCATCTTCCGAATCAGAGGGCGACACGGGCGCGGCGACAAATTGTTTATTGTCGGCGGACACTGCGACTGCGCCGATACGGTTGACTGGCACGCTTGAACGTATCCCGCGAAAAGGGCGTCGGTCGGTTGCGCCACGGTCCACGGAAGCTCCTGGAAGTGCAGACAATAGTACACAATACCACAGGCCCAAATGTCGACCAAGCGGGCATCGTATGCTGCAGAGCCCGGAAGAGATGAAGAATATGAAGAGAGACAATTAGGGGGCAAGGCGTGTGGCAGACGAAGCCGTTTGCTTACGTTTGCCCAAAAACTGCTCCGGAGCTATGTACGGTTCGCTTCCGCACAGCCCTGTGGACATGTGTATCGTCGTCTCCCACGGTAAGCGATACACGGTGGATGCTCCGTAGTCTCCGATCTGCGGCTAACGTTAGACGATGCAACGCCGCGCAACACAAAAAGGAAACACACCTTGAGATGGCCCTTTGTGTCAAAGAAAAGATTCTCAGGCTTGATGTCACGGTGGGCAACACCCTGGCTATGCAGATAGTGCACACCAGTGAGAATCTGTTTGAAGCAGCACTCGACCTCCGCAGGAGACATGCCGCCGCGCTTGATGGCGGCGTAAAGGTCGCCGCCTGGGCAGAACTCCATGACTTCGCACCAGTGGTTGCTCTCATCCTGTACGAGATCGACGGTCTCGACGATGTTGATGTGATGAAGGGTCGAGGAAATGCAGAACTCGGCTGTGAGCTTCTTGACGTACTCCTTCTCTGTCTCGTTCTTCCGCCTCTTCCTAAATTCCTGCACAGAGCTTCGTTAGCATGTTGCCGAAGGCTAGTAGAAACGCGAACGTACCTTCACAGCGTATAGCTTCTCTTCTGATCGGTCCCACTTGTGAGCCAGTCGGACAACGGACGTCGCACCTCTGCCGATAGCCACCTTCTCGCATACGCCGTACTTCTTCAATAAACTCGCTGTACTATCCCCAGCCACGGACCGCCCTCCATCCGACCCGCCCGACCTCTTGCTGCTGCCAGTCGAACGTGCCGACGATCTCCGCACAAGTTTAGGCGCACCGAGAAGGTCCTTGAGAGTGAACTTCTGACCGGAGTCGGAGTGGACGGACGGCGGGCGGCTCTTTCCCTCCTTCGTACTTTCGCGCGAAGGGGTGGGAGAGATCTTGCGGCCAGTCGGTGTCTTGCTACTCTCCTTGCTCTTGATGGAGGTCTTAGTGGGTGACTTCTTGAGCGGCTGAGGCTCAGGGTCGCGATGTTCGCCCTTGTCAAGCGAAACCCTTCCCCCAGCTTTACCGGCGGAGAAGCTCGGGGCTCGGCTCGGCGGCTGTGTGGAGGGCAAGCTCCAGCTCTCGCTTTCCGAGGCAGAGGGCGACTCGCTGGTAGACGGCGTGATCGAGCCGGTCGTTGCTGACGAAGCCTCCTTGTCCATCGGAGCGACGCCGCCGTTCATGCTAAGCTTCTCGAGCTGCTGGCCGAGCTCGAACTGTTGTAGGTCGCGACGTGTACGCTCGGGGGACTTAGGGTAGCTATATGAGTCGGGGGGTGGGAGGGGGACGTGGCCCGTGGCCGGCGTCGTTGTTGGTAGCTGCGCGGCTGTGGCCATGGGCGTAGGCTTTGTCGACGCGTGCTTGGTTCCGTTTGAAAACCGCCTCGACATGAAGCTACGGCTGCGTGGTTTGTCTGTACGTATGTCACCATGCGGCGGTTTATCTGAGCCCTCTGGTCCCTCGCCGTCGGCTTGGGGCGCTTCAGTGCTCGCTGTTGTATCTGCCATGGCCGTATTGAGAGTGCGTGGAATCGTGCGTGGAGATGCGTCTGGAATAAGCAGTGTGCGTGTGTGTGCGATGTCGAGAGTGTCGGAATGTGATGGGAAGACGTTCGCAGGCGTCGAATGAAGGCTCTGAGTTATTATGCTGTTTATAGGGATATCATGACGGCCAACACGGTTCTGAGAGAGGGGTGTTGGATGCAGAGATGGGGTGGTGAAGGCAAGCGAGAGGAGACGTGCCCCCCGCTGAGTGCCTTTAAGACTGGAGGGCAGAGGAGGCGAGAACTTGCTGACGGAGAAAGGGACTGAACAAAGTGAAGGGGGAAAGTGGAGTTTTGTGTGTTCCGAACTTATATATCGGGATTATCTAATTACTTAAATTATTCCTTCACTGGCACTTTTGCCCGTCCTGCCGTCGCTGAGATCGTCCGAGAGAAAATTGCAAGCACAGGGCTGTCCGGTTCTGACACACAAGCTTGTCGTCGGCTGGTGTGTCCATGACGCTCGGTGAACGTTTGAGGGTGCGACGGCCTCGTTGTCAAACGACTGCAGGTACAGAAAGGTGTATTTTCTACTACTCTCGGCGACTCGTTCCTATCAACGTAAAATCGATCCGCAAAATCTCATCCAATCCTCGAAGCAATGCCTGCTCTGCCTGACCGGATATCGCACACGAGGTGATGATGAGCAAGCATCGCGCGGACGAAAACGACACGGTGCCGCGCCCTCGTTGGGAATCTGATTAGAAGCCGTTCATACCACGATCAGCGTATCGGGAGGGCCAGGGCCATGTACCTCAGATACGCACGAAGCGAAATTTAGAAGTATAGACCAGATTCCTGTCCAAGAGCAAGCGAGCCCGAGATAACGCGGTTTGGTATTGAGTAAGGCAGCGAGAGAGATGGTGCCGCTAGCGCTGACACTATCAGAACGTTGTTCCAGTGCCCAAGGGTCCTGAGAGGCTGCAAGACACGTTCCATGTTCGCATGAAAGCCAGGTTGCCGTACTTCCGTCCACAACTCCACCCACAGAGGTAATCACTGTCCGACAAGGTTCCGATAATCTTCGGCGGAGAGAAGCGTACACCGGTGCCTGCAGCTGAAGGTGGGAGCGGATAGCAGTCGTCTCGCGAACGACGGTGAGGTCATTGTCCAGGCTCTATAGCCCTCCCCAGCGGCAGGCAAAAATACACAGCTCACAGACTCAGCATAGCCAGTCCCAACGGAGGCGCGCTACGAACTTAACTATCCAAAGAGACCGAGGCAACGTCCACACTCGCGAAACGGGAGCTTCCAGCATGGCACGAGACAACGAGTGAGCCACGCCGGATGAGATCGGGAGCACTTTGGGGGCGGGTCAAGGCGTGGGCAAACCGGTAGGAGTAGTCTCGGAAACAAAGAATAGGCAGAGGCCGCCCCAGAGGAGCGGACATGCTCTGGGCTGGATGCGGTTCGAACAGCCGGCGAGGCGCACGACTGGCGACGACGGCGCTGGTGAGAACGACAAAGGCAAGGCCGCCGGCCGTTTGACGCATGGCGGGGCCGCTGCCGGGGCTGGCCCGGCCCCGGTACGTGGGTGCGGCCGGGAATGCCGGTTCCCCGACCACTGTAAAGCTCAGCTTATAAGGTTTCGGATAATGCCGTGTGGCTTTGCTCACGTAAGCCCAGACTCGCACGCTGGGGGCCATCCCCGCTGTGCGCTGCCCTCAGCGACCCTCCTCAAGACTCAAGGCGAGTAAACCTATGCCCGATTTTCACACAATCTTGCTCATCGACGAGGCTGTCATGCTGCCGTCCGGATTTTTCTCAACTCTTAGGCACCATGGTCAACCTCCGTTCGCAAAAGCGGCTCGCCGCATCTGTTGCAAGCGTCGGCAAGCGCAAAATCTGGCTTGACCCCGCCGAGCAGAGCGAGATTGGGAACGCTAACTCCCGTACGCATATCAAGAAGCTCATAAAGGATGGTCGCATTATCATCAAACCCCACACCGTCCATTCGCGCGCCCGCACTCTTGAGCTTCTGGCCGCTAAGCGCAAAGGTCGCCATACCGGCCAGGGTAAACGCCAGGGTACCTCTGAGGCTCGTATGCCCACCAAGGTGCTTTGGATGAGGAGACAGCGGGTTCTTCGCCGTTTGTTGAGGAAGTACAGGGAGGCTGGCAAGATCGATAAGCACCTGTGAGTCTTCCCGTTTTCTCTGACGATAGGGATCCCCGCCAACATCTGCTTGTCAGATACCACCAGCTGTACCAGAAGTCCAAGGGTAACGTTTTCAAGAACAAGCGTGTTCTCATGGAGTATATCCACAAGGCTAAGGCCGAGAAGAGCCGAACCAAGGTCCTTTCCGACCAGATGGAGGCTCGCCGCACCAAGAACAAGGTCCGTCTCTCCCAGCACTTTCGTAAACAGCATGCTTACTGTGTGCTTAGGCTGCGCGCGAGCGTCGTGCTGCTCGTGTTGCCGAGAAGCGGGCAGCTATCCTTGCTGTCGAACACGAAGCCCCGGTCAAAGAGTAAATACACGATATTGATATATTCAGGCCCGACGCCCGACCACTCTCCCTCCGTTCCAGGGCTATCTAGGGTCAAGCCCTCCTCTTCTACCGTCCAACCGCTCGAACCGCACCGTATCTGTATCCTATGCCATGCATACTCTCTCAATCATACACCAAACTGCCCATGCTTATATGCTTTCTTTTGCCTCAAGCTTATTTTCTGTGACTGTCTTGCTGCGATTGTCTTGGTGCGATCGTCTTGGTGCGATCTATTCGGTATTTGTCCCAGTATATGCATATAAGCTCGACCGGAAGAGAGCTTCTTCGGAGTACAACTGTCGTACGGCAGTAAGAGCATGTTTGATTGCTGTCTCACAGGAGTTTGCCAAATGTCTGCCCGTTTGCAAGCAGTCGTTCCGGTCTGTTTCTTCTCAGGTCGTGGGTGTCTCAGCTCACAGGCATGTTACGGCAGTCAGCTCGGCTAGGGTAAGCCGAAGAGGAATGCTTTGAAATATCGGCCCCAGGACCGTGCTTTCTGCCAGCTGTTCCTTGCGCGCCCGGCGGCTGCTGCATTCTGCTAAAGATTCGTATGACTGCGACCTGGCATCGATACTGAGGGATGTCTTCTGCACAGAGCCACCCGTCTGGAACCACATGAACGCAAATCCTGTTCGCGTCTTTTCTACCGACTGTTCGGGTGGGTCAGCAGGTCGCTTTGCTTTGCACACGGAAATATCCCAACAGGGGAAGAGCACAAGCTCGCCCCGAACCGTGGACCAGGTACCACGGTTTGTCAATCCATTCTTCCCAGCGACGGTGACACTCCAAGGCGCTGCGACCCCTCTTTCGCGATATCAAGCCCTATCACCCGCAGAATGGACATGGAGAGGCACCTGACGGGCCATGCGCCCGCGGCGAACACGGCGCAGTGCACAAATCTTCACAGCTCCGCCTTCTCTACTCCGCTTTGTGCCCATGTCCCGACCGTGCATACGCCGGACTATGCAAAGTTCAATACTACTCGACAGGAATGCTTCGATCTCAACCTGAGGGTGGGCACGCACGGAGCTGCGATCCTAGGGATCCGCCCGCACGGTTCTATTCCTGTCCTCCGTCTCTCCGCACACCCACCGACGATCCGTTAGTGCGCAATTGCGGATTAACGTAGTGCGGTATGGCCTGGTGTGGCGGTGCCTGCGGCGAGAGGTGCGTGGGCTGCACGGGAGAGCATCTCGAGGCGTGGCGTGCGGCCGAGCCGGCTCGAGCCGGTTGGCCGACCTGTGAGCTAGGATGCACGTCTTATCGATGCTGACGTTCTTTCCTCAGCATACGGCATTTCTCTCTGCAGGCCGCACAGCGGACGTTTTCGGATGACCTCTCCGATGATATTGGATCTGTGTACAGGCAGTAGCACTAATGTGGGCCTCCGGGACGAAGAAGCGTGCGGCGTGGGTACACGGCTTTAGGCAACAGCAAAGATATCTTCCGTTGTACACTACTAGCACACGGATCTGCCCTCGTGACGCACATTAACTGTCGCATGATTTCCGTCGTGCCTGTTTTCATCTTACAGCTGGAGATCCTGTCAGACCGCCGTCAGTCTCTTTTACGACATCCCAAGCTAGCAGCGGGACACACCTTCTCGATCATCTTTGCCGCAATCGGGTGGAACGCCATCTGGTGCGCCCTGAACGTCTCCCGCGCGAGCTTCTTGTCGACTTTGCTCGCCGCGAGGAACACTGGTCGGCAGAACTTCATGCGGCCCTTGACGACACCTGAGCCATCGTCGCCGACGACCCACCGCAGTGCATCGGGCGTGTACTTGCGTGCCGCTGCCGAGGTGGGGCCCTGCAGCGCGACTTCGTAGAACCGTAACCGAATCTCGGCGTTAGTCGCAGACGAGAAGTGGTATACATCGGCAAGCACGTCGACGTGTGCGGCCGGCAGCGGAGTGTAGGATTGCAGGGTCTGGAGGAAGACGACTAAGGGAATATGAGTATCGTCAGTCTCTATTACATCAGTGTACGCTTACCTTTCTGGTTAGAGTTGAAGCATGCGATGTCCGACTCTTTGAAGGTCTGGATGGGATCCGAGACCGACCTCGACTTATCCCATTTTTCGCTGTACAGCGCATCAGTATATACCACGCGGCCGCGATACTTGCACCCACGCCAAGTCGTATGCTTGCTGTGCCAGGGTAGTATCGTATTCCATCTTCACTGGGAGCTCAATACCCTCGCCGTGCAGCCAGGCCTGGGAAACACATTATTAGCCCGACCATATTCGTGGCATAATGGGAGCAGACTCACATCCCACTGTATGCCATCTAACGCTGCGACCTTTTCCTCTCCTCCGTGCACTTGAAAATACGCGTATAGATGCTGCTTCCAGACATCGGTAGTGATGCTCTTGCCTGTGAAAGTGCTCACGTAATCGTAGATGTACGGCAAGAACACATCCAGGCCGCCAAGCGTCCTTTCTGTCTCTAACTGAGCAAAACAACTTTGCAAAAAAAATCTAACGCGGACCCACCAAGGTGCAGCAAAAAATTCGCACCCTTCTCGTATGGCACATCGCTGTACGCATCGTCCGGGTCTTCTCCCTTCTCGAACGGGATGACAAGCCGCTGGTACTTCGGCGCGCTCTCATAACTCTTGAGTGCGTCGCGCAGGCTCTTGGAGCCGATCACGTATTGGAAGCCTCGCGCGGCAGGAGAATGCAGCTTCTCTTGCAGGACGCGCTCCATGTACGTCGTGAACCCTTCGTTCAGCCAAAAATGTGTCGCGTTGGCGTTCCTACAGGGCTATGAGTGAGGGAAGGTGGAGAAAATATGTGCATATAGTACATACGTTACGCCGTTGCCAAACCATGAGTGCGTGAGTTCGTGGACTACAACATCGACCTATTGTGCGCTTTAAGTATAAGCTACGCTATGCGCCTAATTAGTGTATTTACCAGGGAACGGTCGCCAGCGAGCAGCGCTGTCGAGCGAAAAGGGCATAAGCTCGAAATTTTTAAGCGAACCAGCCATCACCTACTGGGGGTTAGGAATGTCAAACACGCATTTTCCTGGCGGTTCAAAGACCACAATTAGTGCTTGCACCCAGCAAACCCGGAACCGCGAAACTTACCATACCGCCGAATGGAAAGCTTGGCGGGAGCACGAGCATGTCGTACACACCAAAGCGGTACGGCGGAACGATGGTTTCTTCGGTAGCGAGGAACCGGCCCGTGTCCTCCTTGAATTCCCAGTAGGCCGCGTCGATGAGCTCTGGTTCGGTCCAAACGCCGCTCGTCCAGTTCTTGTCCGGCATGGCTGGGAAAGGCTTGTACACGATGTTGCCTGCAGCGATGGCGATGAGGTACGAGGGGATCGGGATGGGCTGTGACGGTGGGTTAACGAAGTCAGCGAGGGGAGAGAATAACGGAGGAGCAGACCTGGTTGTACCTGTACACAACTGTGTCTTTTCCGATAACCTTGCCGCCGTGTGCGGGGCCGTCCTGGGGCGGGGACACTCGGATGGCGGACATTAGGGCCGGGAGAACAGAGGTGATCGCTGCGGTGTAGGTCTTTCACTTTTTCAGGCTCTCATCGTCGAAAGAATGTACGTGAATACACCCACAGTCTTGATGGATGGAGTGTCTTGCATCGGTGCCAAGCTGCGCGCGTATATCGGCTGGCACTGGCTGAACAAGTACGGGTGCTTCTGACCCTGAGTCTGTCTTCACAACTTCATCAGCTTTCGACAGATAGAAAATATCAATTGAAAATTACTCTTTTGCAAGCCATTGCAACGCTTTGCAGTCTTCTGTCGTCCTATAATGCACAGTCACTTTGAAACGGAGGCCTATCGGAGGAACCCTGGGCAGCGCGACATGCAGCGCGGAGCCCATCACCGGGTGGCTATCTGCCAGTCTGTACTGAACACATCGCTCAACATCAACATCACTGTTCCCCTCCAGTAGATACAAAAGAAACACCTACATCTGCGGTATGCCCATCGATCTCAACCTTTGAGATGTCCAGAGCGGCAGTATCAAATCTACACTCAACCCTTTTAGCCAAGCCCTCGCTATAGAGACACAAGGTTACTTACACAACATGGCGAACGCCGTCCTGCTTAACCAGGAGCGTATGTGTTGCTGCGCCAGCGACGGCCTTGGCCTCGAAGTCCAGATGCCAGACAAAGTCGATGTGCTCAGAGGCGATCTCGAGAAAGTTTGCCTGAGATGTAGGATCATTCGGCATGTTGTGTGAGGCCCTGATGCGCTGCGCCAACCGTGAAGACTAGCTGTGTTGTGCGAAATCTCGGCCCTCACCTGGGTGTGGACGATAAACGAGTGTCCGAGTTGGTCTCGCGAGAGTCGCGATGACGCGCGGCGCGCACGCCCAGAGACGCAGAAAATGATGGAAGCGCGTCCCATTAGGTCCTATTACGGAAGACGTCCGGCGGTCGCGTTCGAGCTCGCATAGACGCGAGCGTATAAGGCTGAATGTATATGACGCGGTCTTTGCAGGGCTAAAGCTTGGAAGACAGAAAGCGAACTTATCTATTCCGAGGATATCTACAAGGTATATTACGTGTTCCAGAAACATGAGAGACAGCCGTTGACAGTGAGACAAAGACATGGGGCTCTAGATCGTACAGCAGAGGCAGGGGCCAGCTTCACTTTTCCCAAGTAACATCTCGCGGGGTATCATGGAATTTACATCAGAAAATGGTCGTCATCTGCCCATGTTCGTCCGGCACACTCATCGCGCCAAGAGCCCGCGAGTTCGGCCCATTCTTGCCGAAGGTAAAGCCAACCCAGATCCCCCGCGACATCATCTCTTCGCGCTCCTCGACCTCGTCGACATGGCGCTGCTTCTCTCGTACCTCGTTGTACTTGGCCATATCCTCCTCGTTGCCGAAATCGTCGAAATAGCGAGTATCGGTCTCGGTGTACAGTTCCGGGATGTACGGAGGCTCGACATCGCGGAGGTGCTCCCACTCAATACCGGCAAACCATGCGTGTCCTTGCACATCTTCAATCGTCTTGTACCGCAGGTCGGCATAAGTGATCAGCCTATTGAAGCGTTAGGCAAGAAGAGGGACGAAGGAAGAACAATAAGTGTACTTCTTGATTAGGTTCCACGACTCATCCGAAAGGTTATATTCCACATCCTCGTCGTCATACTGTGGCCGCTGCAGCACCTCAGTCCATTTCTGCAGGTTCGTCCAGGTCTCTTCTGGGGTTTGACCGGTAAATGGAGGGAACCCAGCAAGGAGCTCAAATAAGATGCAGCCAAGGGACCAGAAGTCGACGGCATAAGTGTAGGGCTTTCCTCGTAAAACTTCCGGCGCCATGTAATCCGGCGAGCCCACAATTGAGTCAGCCCACTGAGGGTTCTGGCGTTGGACAGACTTGAAAATTGATCGCCGCTCCATGGTCGAGCGTTGCACTACCTTGTTATCCTTCACTTTGTCGAGCTGCATGATCGTTGAATGACTGAGGGTAGTGAACACAGAGCTGATCGCAAACCTTTATCTTCAACGATTCTATTCGCTGTGGATTCAGTGCACCAGTAGCGAGACCGAAGTCTGTCAGCTTGACATGACCTGTAGCATCGATGAGGAAGTTCTACGCATTTTGATGAGGAACAAGCCAAGTTTCAAAATCGGCGCCACATACCTCTGGTTTCAAATCACGATGAATATAACCAAGCCTGTGCAGTTCGCTGACTGCCATAAACATCTCACAAGCGTAGAAGCGCGAATACTCTTCCGCGATCACGCCTGCACTGTTCAGGAAGGTGCGGAAGTCGCCTCCAGGGACATACTCCATGGCTAGATAGACATATTGAGGGTCTTGGAAGGCGTACAGCAAACGTACAAGCCATGGCGTCCTGGTGGCAGTGAGGATATCGCGTTCGACAAGAACGTGTCGAATCTACTCCATCCGCTCAATGTGGGAGCAGTCTCAGATGAGCGCTGGGAACGCACCTCGTCCATCTTCTGGAGCGTCTTCTTCTTCATACGTTTCAAGGCGCACACCTCACCGGTCTCCTGCTTGCGCGCGAGGTACACTTCTCCATAGCCTCCCTGGCCAACTTGGGTGATGATGTGGAACTGCTCCACGCGAAGCTTTGCCCTACGCCTGCGCAGAACAACGCGTTCCCTGCCGCAGTACGACTTCCACTCCTTTTGGTGTTCAGAGTGTGTGAGCCCCCGCTGGGCCGTGTCCTCGTCGAACTTGGCACGACGATCCCTGCGCGCGTCGAGGTAACCAAGATGCTGGAAGTAGTAGTCGAGGAAGTCTACCAGCCCGGAACGTTGAACAACATGTTTCAGATGCAAAGATGTGAGGCGTACGTACAGAGCTGTGCGACAGTGGCCTTGCGTTGCACTTCGGGGCTCGACAGCAGCTTGCGCTGGCGGGGCGTGAAGTTGTCGTTACGGAGGGTATCTGCACGGGCGGTATTCATGTGCACGTCGTGCAGAGTGCTCTTAGCGGTGGACATGCGGATGTCGGGGCTGTTGATGGTGCTCTTGACGGTGTTCATGTGCACGTCAGGGAGGCCCTGGTAGAGGTTCTCTTTGAGGCGGCGGCCAGCCATATCGTCGCAGATCGTAAAGTCGTAAGGGTATGGGGGCCTCAGTAGAAACAGTCTGCGAGAGAGAACAGAGTGAGATGAGTTTCAGGTATGAATTCAACATATGCGTCCAACGTTCCGCTTTCAGCACACGCGAAGGTGATGCCCGCCTTTGAGTAGAAGCGCCCATAAAGGCAGACGGCGCGACTTGCCTTTTCACCACCATGGCACGCGTCCTCCGCGTTCTGAATCCTAAACTCGGTCTCGCTGCAATTATCGCGCAGCAGAATCTCCAAAGCGATCTCTGCATGGAAGCCTGCGATATCTCAACACGCTGCTTTCCCCGAGCCGTCTCACAATGCGTATAGAATGCACAAACAGAGGTCGTGCACAGGATGAACACACATTTGAATGAAAGGGGAATCACAGGGAAGGCGCAGAGCTATGAGCTTGAGATCAAGACGCATGCGTTAAGGTCGGAGGCTGTGCCTCATCTCAGGTGAGAGGTTACCACATATAGTCAGGCCGGACTGGTATTCAACGCATACAGATCTGGAGTAGAAGCATGGCTTACGGTCGTAACGTTCGAGCGTCAGCTTACCTCTATCAAGGAGTGATTAATGCGCTTTGCTGGACGCTGGGATTGAACAGCAACGTTTTGTGATGAACAGCCCTGGCAGGCGCTTGCTCAAAGGTAGTGTTAAGGATGCTGTGGGTGAGTCGTCCCTGTCTATCGAGGCCATGACACGCACTAACGAGAACATCAGCACACATGTATATGTATCTCCATCTTCATCCGATACCTACGCTATGACAAGAATACCACGCTAGGATTTTGCAGCAGCTATACGAGGATGTCTACTAAGCGCACCTGACCGTGCAGAGATATGGCCTTCCGAGCATTGACCTAGTACCCGCTCAAGTCTCGCCTTAGCAACTTTCTGCTCGCTCAACATCATACACGCTGGTCTCTAGCTTTTATCGCCTCCCATCTGTACGAGCGGCTGGGTGTCGCGCTTCGACACGAGGATTAATATCCAGGACATGCACGAGGCCACCTTCTGCTGGCGGGAAACCATGTGTGGCTAGTTCCACACGAGGAAGGCTACGCAGGATGCTGCCCGTACTCGACCTGCCCGATCTCTGTTCCAACCAACTCACCCGCAACGTATTCGAGCTTCAGCTCAACTAGCAATTCAATCCGCACAGTGAGTCTAATCAACACTTCTCCCCGCCCATCTAATACTTCTCTGCTAAGTGGGACATCTCTGCCACCCGCGTTGATAGGACTCGCGTTGATACAAGCACGCTTCGTTATCGGCGACAGCATATAGCTTGCGTCGCAAGTGTCTTCCGTATTCCCTTGGTAATTCAGTGCGCCAATATGCGATGTGGTCTCTGCCTGAGGGCTGACTGTTTCTGTATACACAGCTGATCCAGAACACAAGCTTCGTAACGTCTAGGGTGTTACTATCCGGAGTCGCGGTGGCTTAAGCGCTCAACGCAACATTTTGACTGGGTGCCACGGGCTATCTGCGGCAAGCAACCACGCGATTGGAAGGTCCACGAAACATGACGACAAGAGGCCAAATCCTTCTATGCTGGCGCAGTGCTGGGGCCTTCGATGATCCTACTCCTCCCAATTCCAGCACACGCATTCGGTTCCGGAAAGCTGCTGAGCAGAAAGACCTTAGGAAGCAGCAGAAGCAGGATAAAGAGCAGCGCAAGTATATGCAACGCATTTCGAAGCAAGATGGAGGGGAAAAGGCTATTCTTCCTCGCATTCGCCCTCACCCTCATCCTCGGTTTTACCCTCGCACTAATCCTCACCCTCACCCTCACCCTCACCCTCAGGCCCGGACCCCTCCCCCTCCTTGCGCTCAGGCTTTTCCTCTTCCTCTTCATCCTTCCCGTCGGGCTCGGACCCCTCCTTCTCCTGAGGACTGGGTCCTTCTTCCTTCTCCTTCTCCTCCACCTCCACCTCGGGCTTGGACCCCTCCTCCTCCCCCTCGTAATTGGATCCTTCCTCCTCCTCCTCCCTCGGGATCCTCTTTCTCCTGAAAGCTGGATCTTTCCTCTTCCTCTTCCTCTTCCTCTCCCTCCTCCTCCTCCCTCTCCCTCTCCCCCTCCTGTTCCTTCTGTTCCTCCTTATTCTCCTTATTCTCCTCCTCCTCGGGCTTGGACTCCTCCCCTTCTCCTTCTAGACCGGGCCCCTCTTACCATTCCTCGTCCCCGCCTTCGTCAGGCGCCGGATTCTCCCCGCCCCCCTCGCCCTCGCCCTCTACCACTGCTTTATGCCCAGCCACTTGTGTCTTCACTGAGCAGTGCCGACAAAGATTCCATAAGCACCTCAGCTTCATCCGGTGTCGCCGATTCGAAAGCTCCTCCGTCTGAGTCTCTTTCCTGTTCTTCGAGCCAGTTCGCGACTAGTCCAAAGCAGCCCGTAACGCCGTCGCTAGCGGCGGCTGGTGATACACTTCCTTCTTTACCGGCTTCCGAAACTGAGCAGGAGTGGCGGCGCCAGAAGGATGTCGAAGGCGCGTACAATTCCGCTATCGACGCCATTATGGAGATGACCGGCCTGGAGGAAGTCAAGGCCCAGCTGTTGCGGATCAAAGCCAAGATCGATACCACGCGGCGCCAGGGCGCGTCGATCGAGGACGAATGGTATAACGTCGTACTGCGAGGCAACCCAGGAACCGGTACGTTCAGTTCCTTTTCGCCTTCAGGCATAAGCTGATCTCTATGCAGGCAAGACAACTGTTGCACGACATTACGCAAAGTTCCTCGCTCTGGTCAACATTGTTCCCAGCAACAACTTCATCGAGACGACTGGTTCTCGTCTGGCCAGCGACGGTGTTCTCAGCATCAAGGGGCAGATCGAACGCATGGCCAAGAACGGCGGCGGCGCGATGTTCATCGACGAAGCGTACCAGCTCACTAATGGACAGACCGTTGGTGGCAAGCAGATCCTCGACTTCCTCCTCGGCGAGATGGAGAGACATGTTGGCAAGATGGTCTTCATCTTTGCGGGCTACAACAAACAGATGGAGAAGTTCTTCGAGCACAACCCGGGACTGGCGAGTCGTGTGCCGTACTCGCTGCAGTTCAGCGACTACAACGACCCCGAGCTCCTGCACATGCTTGGGAAGCTGATATCGAAGAAGTACAATGGACAGATGAAGGTCGAGGGCGGGATATTCGGGCTGTATATGCGCGTTGCAGTCAGGCGTCTAGGCCGCGGACGAGGGAAGGAAGGCTTTGGCAATGCCAGAGCGCTCCGCAACATGCTTGCGACCATCTCCGAGCGGCAGGCGATACGCCTGACGGAGGAACGCAAGAGAAGGACGCGCCCAGATGACTTCCTCCTGACGAAGGAGGACATTATTGGCCCTGACCCTTCGAAGGCAGTCCTGGAGAGTACCGCATGGAAGAAGCTGCACGAGCTGGTCGGCCTCGCTGAGGTCAAGCGGTCCATCAAGACCCTCTTCGAGCTCGTCGCAGAGAACTACAAGCGTGAACTGGCAGAGAAGCAGCCGATCCAGATGTCGCTCAACCGTGTATTCCTCGGCAACCCCGGGACAGGCAAGACAATGGTTGCGAAGCTGTATGGGCAGATCTTAGCAGATCTTGGACTGTTGAGTAACGGTGAAGGTGAAATTCGGGGCAGCTTGATCAGTCGTATTTGGTTCTGATTCACCCCGCAGTCGTGCTCAAGAACCCCGCCGACTTTCTCGGGTGTGCTATCGGAGAATCGGAGCGGAATACCAAAGCCATTCTGGAAGCTACGATTGGCAAGGTCCTCGTCATCGATGAGGTATAGTACATCTCGTTTCATGGATAGATATATTCCTGCTAACATTTTTTCGTAGGCATATTCGTTGTACGGAGGCGAGAACGCAGGCGGCAGGAATCTTTACAAGACGGCCGTGATCGATACCATCGTCGCGGAGGTTCAGAGCGTCCCGGGTGAAGACCGATGTGTTCTCATGTGTGGCTACGAGCGACAGATGCGGGAAATGTTCCAGGTAATGTCGCGGTTGTTGTTCTATTCTGAGGTCCAACGGTATTGAACGCGTTGCAGAACGTCAACCCAGGTCTTTCGCGTCGCTTCGCAATTGAGGATGCATTTCGCTTCGCAGACTTCGCCAACTCCGAACTTCTCGAGATCCTGAATCTGAAGCTGAAGGACCAAGATCTCGACGCGACGCCTGAGGCCAAGGCGGTGGCGATCGATATGCTCAGTCGGGCCCGCGACCGACCGAACTTTGGGAACGGCGGGGAGATCGAGAATATACTCGGCAAAGCGAAGAATAACTACCAGTCACGCCAATCAAAGCTTCCCGCTTCTCACCGGCCGCTCGAGGTTATCTTCGAGCCTTTGGACTTCGATCCCAACTTCAACCGCGCGGAAAGGGCAGACAAAAACCTCAAGAAGCTTTTCGAGGATATGGTCGGATGCGAGAAGATTGTGGAGAAGCTGCAGGAGTACCAGAACATCGCACGTGTTACCAAGCAGCGCGGGTGGGAGGCACGGGAGGCGCGGCATCTCATCCCGACTAACTTCGTGTTCAAGGGACCTCCTGGTGAGTATATCCCTGTATAAGCTGGAGTGCTGGTGTTAACACGAAGCAGGTACCGGCAAGACGACCACGGCGCGCAGGATGGGCCAAGTTTACTACGACATGGGCTTCCTCTCATCCACAGAAGTCGTCGAGTGCTCCGCGTCCGACCTGGTAGGACAATACGTCGGACATACAGGGCCGAAGACGAAGCAAGTCTTCGAACGAGCTCTGGGCAAGGTTCTTTTTATCGACGAGGCGTATCGTCTTAGCGAGGGCGCGTACGCAAAAGAGGCAGTGGATGAACTCGTCGGGATCCTCACCCAGGAGGCTTTCGTTGGGAAACTCATCGTCATTATCGCCGGATACGGCAAGGAGATCAACACGCTGCTAGCCGCGAACCCTGGACTTGCGAGTCGATTCCCTGAGGAGATACACTTCGACAACATGTCACCAGAGCACTGTCTCGAGATATTGAAGAAGGACCTCGCGAAGGACGACATCGAATGCGCGGCGATTGGGGCGACATCCTCGGACGAGTACAAGCAGATGTGTCGCTGATCGCGCGA